CCTGAATTCACTGATATCTCCCATCTTAGCCATAGAAGGGGTGAGCCTCTGTGGTCCCTGCTCAGAGCAGGCCCACAAAGCCCACTTCACCTCCAATTGCCCACTCCTTCCCCCAGGGCTGCAGGCCTTTGCTAATAACTCCCTATGGCTGAATCTGCTTTGCTGAACCAGGAAACCCTACTGAGTTGTATAGGCACCATTCATTTAAAAAACTTTAAAAAGCCAACATTTTATTCCTATGCAAAATATAACTTGGTAATTTGAAAAATGTACAATGACATAAAGAAGAAAATAACAATTACTCGTAATTCTCACCATCTTGAGAGAATCACTGTTAACATTTTAGTGTATGCCCTTCCAGATTTTGTTTTGAGTTATGTATAAATATGCATGTATAATAGTTTTTATAAACAAAAAATGGGATTATGTGTATATACTGCTTCATAGTGCACCTTTCTTTTGTCATGGTATGTATCCATCTATTATTGCTGATTCTCGGTGACCTAAGCCTCAGTGCATTTCACCCCGCATCCTGTGTCACACTTGTGTTCTTGCATGGAAGAAAGCCCAGGGGTTTCTGGGGTGCCCATCTAATCTTACAGAACTTGGGGGGCTGGGTATCTTCCCCCCTGTCTTCCCAGAGCCCCTTTCTGGCTTAAATTGAGCCACTGGGGGGGAAGAGGGCAGCTCTAGTGCATGGCTGAGGGGAGATACTGACTCTCTCCCCCTGTTCTTCTCAGATCCGCCAGTCCTCGCTCTCTTGAGCCCACCAGTCTCGGCCCCATGCCCCCGCCAGTTAACTCCGGGCTACAGGCAGTGAGCAGGCACGTGGGAGCTGAGGCCCTGTGACCAGGCCACAGAAACGGGAGCTCGGGGTTCCGGCCACCTGCACCCCCATGGAGCTGAGGCCCTGGTTGCTATGGATGGTGGCAGCAGCAGGAACCTTGGTCCTGCTGGCAGCTAAGGCCCAGGGCCAGAAAGTCTTCACCAACACATGGGCTGTGTGCATCCCTGGGGGCCCAGCAGTAGCCAACAGTGTGGCACAAAAGCATGGATTCCTCAACTTAGGCCAGGTGGGTGTTCATTCAGGACACTGTCCATGGGTGAGGCCAAGAGAAGACAGGGACTCTGGTGCCAGGGGCAGGAACTGCTGGGCTTTTCTCAGGGCCCCTGTATAATAGGCATGTTCTGGGTGGCCAATGGGATGGATACAGTGGCTGGCCCTGGCCCTGGGCTGTCAGCATAGGTCTCCAGATCACCAGCGCACCCCAGTGAAGGTGAGTCCCCTGCCCGCCCCACTGCCCTGCTCCTCACCTTGGCAAGATTCCCGTGTAGCCATCGTTCACCCCTGTCCCCTGCCTCCCTGGGGACTGACAGATGGAAACCCAGCTTAGTCGCCCTGCTTTATTGTAGATCTTCGGTGACTATTACCACTTCTGGCATCGAGCAGTGACAAAGCGGTCTCTGTCGCCTCACCGCCTGCGGCACAGCCGTCTGCAGAGGGAACCTCAAGTGAGTTTAGCCTTGGCCACCTACTGGCCGCTGCCCACTGCTCTCAGGGACCCCTCGCACTTCCCCCCACCACACACACCAACTCGCCCTCACTTCCTCACAGGTACAGTGGTTAGAGCAACAGGTGGCCAAGCGACGGACCAAACGGGATGTGTACCAGGAGCCCACGGACCCCAAGTTCCCCCAGCAGTGGTACCTGGTGCGCTGCCTCTTCAGCCCGGGCCCCCTGCCTCCCACTGCACTGTCCACCTACTGGGGCTCCTGTTGGGGGACGAGGCTGACTTTGAGGCTCCCCCGGACTCTTTCCCTTCCCTTCAGCCTCTCCTTGCACAAGCCTGAGGTGGCCCTGCCAGAGTTCTTCACATTCCCATGAAGTCCATACAACCAATGGTGGCATTTTAGGGATGGGTGGAGGTGGTGTTGCAGTAGGGAGGGGACCTGAGACTCACATAAATACCCATGTCCTATAAGTGATGGGAATGGCTATCTCCACAGTCTGGTGTCACTCAGCGGGACCTGAATGTGAAGGAGGCCTGGGCTCAGGGCTACACAGGGCGTGGCATTGTGGTCTCCATCCTGGACGACGGCATTGAGAAAAACCACCCAGACTTGGCAGGCAACTATGTGAGGAAGTGGGGCATGGCCGTGGTCCCTGGCTGGGTGTCTGGGGCTATCCTATTCTGCCTGTGAGAGCAGGCTGCTCCTGATGGAGGCCATACCCTTTCTAGGATCCTGGAGCCAGTTTTGATGTCAACGACCAAGACCCTGACCCCCAGCCTCGGTACACACAGATGAATGACAACAGGTAAGGAATGGCAGGACCCTGGCCTCTGCCTCCCTTGTCTCTTCCAGGGAAATGGGGCTAAGCCTAGGTGGAATGTGCACACTTGACAGGCTGAAGGCTGCTTCCACGGTTCTGGTCCAGCTAGGGCTCTGAGGGAGGGTTTGGTCAGAGCAGAGCTGGCCACTGTCAAGGGGAGTGCTGGGGGAAGGGGCTGTTCATGGGACATGCTAGTCGTGGGGGGCATGTGGGGCATGTCTACTGCACCCTGTCCACCCTACCCATGCTGTGCTCTTGGCCCTGGCAGGCATGGCACACGGTGTGCAGGTGAAGTGGCTGCAGTGGCCAACAATGGTGTCTGTGGTGTAGGCGTGGCCTATAACGCCCACATCGGAGGTGGGTGTGAGCCTTGGCTATTCCATCTTTGGGAGGGCCCTTCAGTGGGACATGACTCTGCCTTGGTCATTGCCCACCACTTTCCCCACTGTGGGTCCTTTGACCACACATGCATTCCATAAAGGATTCTCTCTCAGTGACTCAAAAGCTGGATGCCCTAGTGCTGGTGGCCCTGTGGGGTGGGATGGGTATCTCTTAGCAGAAGTCTCCCAAAATTCCCAGTACCCATCCTGAGTCCTTCTGTGGCAGGCCCTGATCACCATGCTCCTTCAAAAACCAGAATATCGTTCTAGACTAGAATGTGTGGTTGGGGGCGGAAGGTGACTGCCTCTCTTCTCTCTGCGTCTGGCCTTTGAAAGGCAGAGCCAGACAGGCAGTTAGGGGCTCAGGGTTTCCCAGCATCAGCATCCACCATCCCCAGGGGTGCAGGGCTGGGTGTGCTCTGGGGAAGCTAGACCCATGCAGCATCCCTCTTGGTGCTCCCCTCACGGCCAGGGGTTCGCATGCTGGATGGCGAGGTGACCGATGCGGTGGAGGCCCGCTCTCTGGGCCTGAACCCCAACCACATCCACATCTACAGTGCCAGCTGGGGCCCTGAGGACGATGGCAAGACAGTGGACGGGCCAGCACGCCTTGCCGAGGAGGCCTTCTTCCGGGGGGTTAGTCAGGTGAGGTGGGGTCTGGTCTAGCCTCTGTGGTAGTCTGGATGCTATCCTTTCTGTTGCTTTTTTTTTTTTGTATTTTTTGATTTTTAAATTTATTCTTGTGTTTAATTTAATACAAAGTATGTTTATTAAAGCATTAACAGACAGAAAAAGAGTAAAGAAAATATAAATCACCCATCACCTCCAACTCTGAGCATAGTTGGTGATCCTGGCTTAGTCTTTGGGCACAGACATATTTGCAGAAACACAGATCTATTAGGGATCTTGCAGGGGACCCCTCCTGGGGACAAGCAGTCCCTAGAAAATGAGGCCCCAGCTCTCCCAGTCCTAGTAGCATCTCCCTACCAGGCCTCCCCCAAGTCCTGATCCTATCATGAGTGACCCCACCCCACTCTGTCCACAGGGCCGAGGGGGGCTGGGCTCCATCTTTGTCTGGGCCTCAGGGAACGGGGGCCGGGAACACGACAGCTGCAACTGTGATGGCTACACCAACAGTATCTACACGCTGTCCATTAGCAGTGCCACACAGTTTGGCAATGTGCCCTGGTACAGTGAGGCCTGCTCGTCCACCCTGGCCACAACCTACAGCAGTGGCAACCAGAACGAGAAGCAGATTGTGAGTCTTGCCCTGTGTGGGGGCTGGGGAAGTGGGGCTGTTTGCTGGCTCTGCCCAGGGTCCCCTTTTGGACCCCATCTGCTTCTCATCCCCCTGTGGCATCATGGAATGTGAGCTTTGGGACTTGCTAAGGCTCCCAGGGGCTGCGATGTGTAGGCCGTTCCTAAAAACACAAACCTCTCTGTGGTCTCCAACCTCCAGTTGACCCACTAATTCCTTGGGAAACTGAGGCCCAGAAGGGGCCAAGTATTGGCCTGTCTGCAGCAAGTTAGCAAGGCAGCAGCTGGGACTGAGGCCTGCCACACCCTCTGTGGTGCCCTGGGCCTGTGGGCAGAAGGAAGGCAGGCAGGTAGGTAATCCTTCTAGGTCCCTCTGCCCAATACCATTGTCCCCTGGCAGGTGACCACTGACTTGCGGCAGAAGTGCACAGAGTCTCACACGGGTACCTCAGCCTCTGCCCCCTTGGCAGCTGGCATCATTGCTCTCACTCTGGAGGCCAAGTAAGTGGGTGGAGAGCCGAGGGGCAACTCTGAGCCTATTGGCCCTCTGTCTATAGCTGCTCCCAAAAAGATTGAGCCTTGGTCTCTCCCTTCCTCCTTTGCAGTAAGAACCTCACTTGGCGGGACATGCAGCACCTGGTGGTACAGACCTCAAAGCCAGCCCACCTTAATGCTAATGACTGGGCCACCAATGGTGTGGGCCGTAAAGGTGAGGGCAGGGTGGCCCTGTGGGCTGAGGTTGGATGTAGGTTGTAGGGGTCACTCTACACCTCCCAACTGACCCCACTTCCTTGTCCCTATAGTGAGTCACTCATACGGCTACGGGCTGTTGGACGCAGGTGCCATGGTAGCTCTGGCCCAGAACTGGACAACAGTGGCCCCCCAGCGGAAGTGCATCTTGGACATCCTCACAGAGCCCAAGTGAGGGATAGACCCAGGGTGGGAGGGAGCCAGTGGGGCCTGAGAGTTACTGGGGGTACCTGCTGGTCCCTCTGGGCTAGGCTGACTCTCCTGATGCCCTCTGCACAGGGACATTGGGAAACGGTTGGAGGTGCGAAGAACTGTGACAGCATGCCTGGGTGGACCCAACCACATCACAAAGCTGGAGCATGCACAGGCACGGCTTACCCTGTCCTACAATCGCCGTGGTGACCTGGCCATCCACCTGGTTAGCCCCATGGGCACCCGTTCCACCCTGCTGGCCGCCAGGTGTGTGCCCTGTCCCCTGCCAAGCACCTCCTGTTTGTCACAGCTCATGTGCCATGCCTTCATCCAGCCATACCCCTGCAGTTGTCCAATGCCACACCATGGGGCACCATTGGCATTTTGAGAGGGACATGCTGTTTCATACCGTAGGAATCCCTGGTTCCCACACATTTTGTGCCATAGTGGGTATCGCCTTGTATAGTGCCATTGCACCTTTTTGGAATCCCTTGGCTGAGAATATCTGCTCCCCTGGGAAACAGACCTGTAGGTGTTTCTAGCCCTGGAGGGTTATGGCTTGCCCGTGAACTATGGGCTGAGTGTCTCCTGGCTTGGGCCCCTGGAGGCCTCAGACAGCTATGTGTAACCCCCTTAGGCCACATGACTACTCTGCAGATGGGTTTAATGACTGGGCCTTCATGACAACCCATTCTTGGGATGAGGACCCCTCTGGCGAGTGGGTCCTGGAGATTGAAAACACCAGTGAAGCCAACAACTATGGTACTGGGGACGTGTGTGGTGGGAGTTGGGGGACAAAGAGAATTGCTGTTGGGATCTGGGGTGCCGGGCACAGTGCCAGCATCCTCAAACTCTTGCTCTCTCCCCTGCTCTGGAACAGGGACACTGACCAAGTTCACCCTTGTGCTCTATGGCACAGCCCCTGAGGGGCTGCCAGCACCTCCTGAGAGCAGTGGCTGCAAGACCCTTACGTCCAGCCAGGCCTGCGTGGGTCAGTAGTGGGTGCTGTGGGCTGTGGGAGTCTGAGGCTGGGTGACAGAGGGTGCCCGTCCTGCAACCCAACTCTAGGAAGGAGAGTTCTCATGAGACCTAGGGCTTTTGGGATGACCACAGTTCTGGGGCAAGGGCTCCTGGGGACTGTGGGGACCGCTTGGGTTGCCAGGGTGCTGGGCCTGAGGGCTCATGTTGCCCCATGGCGCCAGCTGACACACGCACTCCCCTTCTGGCAGTATGCGAGGAAGGCTTCTCCCTGCACCAGAAGAGTTGTGTCCAGCACTGCCCATCAGGCTTCACTCCCCAAGTTGTGGACACACACTACAGCACTGAGAATGATGTGGAGACCATCCGGGCCAGTGTCTGTGCCCCCTGCCATGCCTCATGTGCCACCTGCCAGGGGCCAGCCCCCACAGACTGCCTCAGCTGCCCCAGCCACGCCTCCCTGGACCCTGTGGAGCAGACCTGCTCCCGGCAGAGCCAGAGTAGCCGTGAGTCTCCACCACAGCAGCAGCTACCCCAGCCACCCCCGGAGGTGGAGACAGAGCCACAGCTGAGGGCAGGGCTGCTGCCCTCACACCTGCCTGAGGTGGTGGCCGGCCTCAGCTGCGCCTTCATTGTGCTGGTCTTCGTCACCATCTTCCTGGTCCTGCAGCTGCGTTCAGGCTTCAGCTTCCGGGGGGTGAAGGTGTACACCATGGACCGTGGCCTCATCTCTTACAAGGGGCTGCCCCCTGAAGCCTGGCAGGAGGAGTGCCCATCTGACTCAGATGAAGATGAGGGCCGGGGCGAGAGGACCGCCTTTATCAAAGACCAGAGCGCCCTTTGACGAGCCCACTGCCCACCCCCTCAAGCTAATTCCCTCCTTGGGCACTTTTTAATTCACCAAAGTATTTTTTTATCTTGGGACCGGGTTTGGACTCCAGCTGGGTGGCATGAGGGGCAGAGGCTGCTTCTTGCCCTACCCTTGGGCCCACCTGGCTGCCTGAGGTGGGTCACAGGACCAGCTGTAGGGAGGTCCTCACTCTCAGCCCCCATGTGGAGAAAGGAGTGACCCCTTTAGGGCAGCTCTCCAAGGCCTGGGCCCTGGCCAGAGTATGTGAAGAGGGGCAGCCCTTTCCAGGATTCCTGACCCAGGCTGCAGCTCTTTCCCCTTCCCTGTCCCTCTAAAGCAATAATGGTCCCCATCCAGGCAGCAGAGAGGCTGGCCTAGGAGGTATTCAAAGGAGGTGGCCACCTCTTCAAGGGCTTTTGAGTCCCTGACCCTATCCCCCACTTCTGGTGAGCCTCGTCAGAAGCAGTGATCATAGGAAGGGACCAAGGCAAGGCAGGTGCTTCCAGCTGTGCACGTGTGCGTGTCTTTCTGTTTCTGACTCGAGCTAGGCTGGCCCAGCCAAGGCTGGAGCTCTGGCTGCACCCATGCTGCGTCCCGACCTCCCTCCTCTCTTTTGTACCCTTCCCTCCCACCAGGGCCCAAGTCCCTGTTTTCTGAGCCCGGGGCTGCCTGGGCTGTTGGCACTCACAGTCCTGGAGCCCCTGGGTGGGTGGTGGGGAGGGACGGTGGCCCAGCCAGCCTCTCCCGCTTCCCACCCAATGCTGCTTTCCCCTGTGGGGATCTCAGGGGCTGTTTGAGGATATATTTTCACTTTGTGATTATTTCACTTTAGATGCTGATGATTTTTTTTTTTTTGTATTTTTAACGGGGGTAGCAGCTGGACCACCCACCTTCTCATACCCACTGTCCACTCTGCTCCTCCTCTGGCTGCCCTGGCCCTGGGGTGTGGGGCAGTAGCATGTTGCTGAGGAGTGAGGAGCAGCTGAGCCCCACCTCCTGAAAGGCAGGCCAGATAGGTGGACTTGAGGAAGGAGGGGTCAGGTGAGAGGGGCAGACTGACATCCGTGTTTCATGTGGGGCTCACCGTGCCAAGGGCTCATGGGTCACTGGCTCTCCAAGTGCCAGGGGTGGGCAGGTGGTGGCACTGAGCCCTTCCAACACTGTGCCCTGGTGGAGAAAGCACTGACCTGCCGTGCCCCCACATCCCCTCTTCTGACGTGCCTTTTGCACCCCTCCCATTAGGACAATCAGTCCCCTCCCATCTGGGAGCACCTTTCTTGTCCTCTTTCCTAGCCAGTTCCCAGTACCTGGCCACTTGCCCAGGGGTGCCCCCTCCTCTCCCATCCTCCACCCCATCGTGGCCAGCCCAGCTGGTTTTGTAAGATACTGGGTTGGTGCACGATGTTTTTTTTCTTGTAATTTAAACAGGCCCAGTATTGTTGCTTCTATTTAATGGACACGAAATAATGTTAGAGGTTTTAAAGTGATTAAACGTGCAGACTATGCAAATCAAGCCTGGCATCCAGTGTGTTGATGTTATTCTCTGCTCCGCTTATTGCATCCTAGCTGGGGATCAGGGCTGGTTAGGCCTACATGTTATGCTCCCTGCTGGGATGTAGGCCTATGTCAGGAGGCCAAAGTCCTCCAAGGGGCTCTAAGGCCTCAGTGGAAGGAGACAAGTCCCAGGACATGAAACCAAGGCCCCTGAGCCTTGAGAGCAGCACAGTTCAACTCCCAAAGTCCTGCTTCCCAGCAGAACACAATGGAGAGTAACTGGGCCCCTGTCCTATTATTTGGTGTCCTGGGCTGAAGTGACCTGTCCACTGGCTGTAGGGCTGAGACCTGAGGTAGGGCCTAACTTCTGCTTGGGGGAGCCTGAGTCCCACATGGGGAAACTCCAAACCACTCCATTCTCTGCCCCATGACTAGCCCCCAGGTCTCTCTGGGGATGGGAAGAACCTGACTGGGGTTAAGAGGGGAAAGGACTATGCCTGAGAGACAAGCCTCTCTGCCTCAGGATATTTACTTGGAAGTTGTATTCAAGTGGAGGCTGGTGCCTGAGTTGTCTTTAGGGAAGAGGGGGGGAGGACTGGGACTAGACTCCCCACTTCTCTTAGGGGGCAGCCTGGCCTGGTGATGGGACTGCCCCAGCAGGGAGGCCTTGTGCCCAATACCTGCCTAGGACCTTGCCCTGTGCCCACTCCCCAAGCCCACCTGGAACCCCTTCCTTGTGTTCCTGGGGCACTGCTGGGCCCTGGGGAGTGCTGGGCACAGGCCACTCTTGCAGGGCCATTCTTTCCCAGCGCCCTCCTCCCTTCCGTTTCCGTGGCCACGCAGGGGCTGGCAGGGGCTGGCTGGAGGCTGTGGCCTAGTGCTAAGCAGGGGGGCCAGCAGGCATGGGGGATCAGGCCTCTGCTGCCCGCCTCTTCCCCTCCACAGGCCCGCCCTGGGGCCGGGGCCAAATGAAACCGCTGGAGGAGGAAGCACGGAATCAGGAACCGGCTGGTGGTCGCACAGGCCTGAGTCTGTTCACAGCCACCCCAGGAGCAGCTGCCTGTGGGGGTAACTCCAGCATCTCAGCCTAGGAGGCATGAGGGACCCCAGGGAGGAGCAGTGGGAGCTGAGGGAGGGCTATCAGGCAGGAGCTGGCCAGGTGGTCAGAGGGCCAGAGGTGGGATAGAAGTCTTGGAAGGGTGGGCTGGGCCACAGCGGTTTCCTGGAGCTCTAGCCAGGGCATTCTTGGCCCTGTGGAGGACCTGGGCACACACCCCTGAGAGGATTTTTGGGTACAGGCCTAGGCAGGGATCCTCCACACTGGTTTCTGTTCCAGGACTGGGAAGGGGACCCTGGGTGCTAGAGGAGCGATGAGGGGCACAGCCAGGCCAAGCTGCTGCTATGGGCCCGTGGCTGCATTTAAGCACAGGACCCCACTGCCTGTCTGCAGCCCCTCCTTACCCTGCAGCCCCCAGCCTTCACGTCCCACCCTCCATGTGCAGCAGCTGTCTTGCCCATAGGGATGGCCTTTTCTGTGTACTAGGACAACACTATGGGCTTCTCTTCGGAGCTCTGCAGCACTCAGGGCCATGGGGCCCTGCAGCAGATGCAGGAGGCTGAGCTTCGCCTGCTGGAGGGCATGAGGAAGTGGATGGCCCAACGAGTCAAGAGTGACAGGGAGTACGCAGGACTGCTTCATCACATGTCCCTGCAGGACGGTGGGGGCCAGAGTCGGGGCATTAGCCCTGATAGCCCTATCAGCCAGGTAAGCTTCTGCGGGGCTCCCGTGAGTGCCTGGTATACCTGCCTTACCTCTCCCTCTCTTGAAGCCTGCTGAAGAGAGGCTGGAGATTTGCCAAACCTAGGCTTATATCCTCTGTGTCCCCATCCTATGCTGCAGTCCTGGGCCGAGATCACCAGCCAAACAGAGGGCTTGAGCAAGGTGCTGCGGCAGCATGCAGAGGACCTGCACACAGGGCCCCTGAGCAGGCTGAGCCTGCTGATCCGTGAGCGCCAGCAGCTGCGCAAGACCTACAGCGAGCAGTGGCAGCAGCTGCAGCAGGATCTTACCAAGGTGGGCGGCATCTGGGGCCCTGTCCTTTCTGTCTGAGCATTGAGCCTAAAAAGGACAGTCTTGCACAAGAGCCTCTGGACTCACTAGGGAAGTGCAATTGCCTGACCGCAGGGCCTGCTCGGGCCTTACAGCTTCCTCCCTCCTGGGCTGGTCGCTGTCAGCCTATCTGTGCATTTCCCGTCACTGGGTGTTGCCAGTTCCTAGGCACAGTGCTGGGAGTGCAAGGGCAAGTGAGCCTGACACTGCCAGGAGGAGCTCTGGGTCCCTGTCACCTCCTGCATTGCACCATCCGGCCTTGGGCTATGAGGACAGTGAGGACTGAGGGCAAGTCTGTGGCCCATGATGGCTGAGGACTCAGGGTGGGAGTCCTGGGAGTCAGTCGGCCTATCTGGGCTGGAATCCCACCCGGCTCCTCAGGGCTCCTCAGGGCAGAGACTGTGTGACTTGGAGCTGGCTGTCCAACACCCAGGTCACCTCCCTGCACCACACCCCTTCCTGTAGCTGGGAGCCATGGTGCCACGAACCCACAGCGGCCCCTGGTGGCCAGCCTGGCCCCCACCCTCTGCCCAGAAGATCATCTACTTCAAGGGTCAGCTTGCTTTTGTAAAGTCCTGCTGAACTCATTCAGGCCTCTTCATACTGTCTATGACTACACTGGCAGAGATGAATTATTGTAACACAAACCCTCTAGGAATGTAATCTGCAGGATGCAGTGCAAAATGAAATGGCGACAATAGAGCATAAAACCAAGCATGGGGCCTGAAGCTGTCCCTCCCTGTTATCAGAATACCACTCTCAGGCCAGGAAGGGACAGGTGTAGCCCTCCCAGTTCACCTCTTTACCTTGTTTTCCCCTTGTTTTAACCAGCTCCTCTGACCCTGACCTTGGTAGGCAGCTTCCCCAGAAGCCTGCGTGCCCTTCCCTGGGCTAGAGTGTGCTACCAGCCTGGCTAGCAGGGCTTGCCTGTCCAGGACTTCTCCTCAGACAAGAATCTCCCATGCTTGGGAACCTCTTGTCTCACACCAGCTTATCTTTTCCCCCCCAGATCCACAGCCATGACATCGAGAAGCTGAAGAGCCAGTACCGAACTCTAGCACGGGACAGTGCTCAAGCTAGGCGCAAGTACCAGGAGGCCAGCAAAGGTCTGTGGCTTCCCTTGCTGATATGGTGGGACTCCCTAGCTGGTGTTGACCTATCCATGGATGCCCAGAGCATGGGGGCTGCCCAGGCCTCCCTGCTGTCACTCACATCCCTTGCCTCCCCGCTGACAGACAAGGACCGTGACAAGGCTAAGGACAAGTATGTGCGCAGCCTATGGAAGCTCTTTGCCCACCACAACCGCTACGTGCTGGGGGTGCGGGCCGCACAGCTGCACCACCAGCACCACCACCAGCTGCTGCTGCCTGGCCTGCTATGCTCACTGCAGGAGCTGCATGAGGAGATGGCAAGCATCCTGTAAGCCCCCACCCCATGTCCTCCCTACAGCAGCTGAGTCCTGCTATCAGGCCCAGAGGCAGGGCCCGGAAAAGTCAATACTATAAAAATGCTGGCCACACAGCCATATGAGGAGACCCGGGCCAAGGCCTGGAACCAGTCTTGCTCACCAAGCTACACTATTGCAGAGCCCACATCCCTGCCCCTGTCCTTGCCCCCCTAAGTCTATTCTCAGCAAGTGGCCAGTGTGACCTTATTCAAACAGGTCAGATCATATCTCTTCTCATTCACCCAGAGCCAAAGTCCTTGTAGTGGGCTGCTGGGCCTTCTGTCACCCAGTGGCTTGACCCTGCATCCTCTAGCTTCCTGTCTGACTCTGCCTCCCTCAGTCTATGGGGTGCCTCTAGCTTCTTGCTGTTCTCTGATACTCTACCACCTGTGCTGTTCTTTTGTTTGTTTGTTTTTGTTTTTGTTTTGTTTTGTTTTTTGAGACAGAGCCTCAAGCTATCTATCCCCCTGGGTAGAGTGCTGTGGCATCACAGCTCACAGCAACCTCCAACTCCTGGGCTCAAGCGAGTCTCCTGCCTCAGCCTCTCAAGTAGCTGGGACCACAGGCGCCCACCACAACACTGGGCTATTTTTTGGTTGCAGCCGTCATTGTTGTTTTGGTGGGCCCAAGCTGGATTTGAACCCACCACCTTAGGTGTATGTGGCTGGCACCTTAGCCACTTGAGCCACAGGTGCCAAGCCACCTGTGCTGTCCTTTCTGGAATGGTCTTTCTCCACATAGCCCCCTTTCTCAGGGCTCTCTTTGAATATCAATTTCTCAAAGAAGCTGTCCCAGACCACTATGTACAACTGTCACCACCACCTCCTTAGCACTCCCAATCTCCTCTTGGTGGACTTTTCACCATAGCAATTACTGCTACACTCATCAACTCCTTGCTCCTCCAGAAGGAAAAGTCCCTGAGGACATATGGTTTTGTCCATGTCAGTCTCTGCTGTAACCCAGGGCCTAGGATAGGGCTTAGTGAACAGTAGCACCCCCAGTGCTCCCTCTTACTGAGCACATCCTGTACACAGGACACTATGCAGAGGGTTACAGCTCCCAGCTTCTCCACTGTACATAGCAGGACAAACAGAAGACCAGCGAGGAAGTCAGTGATTTGACTAAAGTCACGTGACTAGCACGTGAGGTGGGGATCAACCCCCTGCACTGATTGCAAGCCCAGAGCCCTGGTCCCCCCCTGTCCAGCTTTGCCCAGCATGAGGCCCTCCTGACTGGGGGTCCCATCTGGGGTGCAGGAAGGAGATCCTGCAGGAATACCTGGAGATGAGCAGTCTGGTACAGGACGAGGTAGTGGCCATTCACAGAGAGATGGCTGCAGCTGCTGCCCGCATCCAGCCCCAGGCCGAGTACCAAGGCTTCCTGAGACAGTATGGGTAAGCCTGTCCTTGTACCTGTAGGGCACTGGAGCCACTGGCCTATTCACTGATGGGGCACTGCTTCCCACAGGTCTGCACCTGACATCCCACCCTGCGTCACCTTTGATGATTCACTGCTTGAGGAAGGAGAACCACTGGAGCCTGGGGAGCTGCAGCTGAACGAGCTCACTGTGGAGAGTGTGCAGCACACGTGTGTGGCAGCCTGGCTGGGGTGCCCAGCAAAGCACGGGTGTTTGTGTGGGGAGGCCAGGGAGTGGACAATGTCCACACAGAGCTGTGGCCCAGTGGTGGGACCTGCGTGGCTCCACAGGGGTGCATCTAAGGGGCTTGAATCTTACATTACCCTTCCCTTGGGTATAGGCTGACCTCAGTGACAGATGAACTATCTGTGGCCTCAGAGTTGGTCCTCAGCCGACAGGAGGTGGTCACTCAGCTGCAGTGTGAGCTTCAGAGCGAAGAACAGAACACCCACTCCCGGGAGCGGTGAGTGGGGCCCTCCTGCATTCCTTCTCCTGCTGCCCTCCCCATGGACTGAGCCCCTCTCTCCCCTTCTGGCCCCTGCTGGCAGGGTGCAGCTTCTGGGCAAGCGGCAAGCACTGCTGGAGGCCCTGCAGGGACTGCAGGTGGCGCTGTGCAGCCAGGCCAAGCTGCAGGCCCAGCGGGAGCTGCTGCAGACCAAGCTGGGGCAGCTGGGCCCTGGTGAGCCCCCACCCGTGCTGCTTCTGCAGGATGACCGCCACTCCACATCATCATCGGTGAGCCACCATCCACTGCTCTGCCCAACAGCCAGGCCTGCCCCCTGGGGCCGCACTCCTCATTTTCACCCTCCCCCTCCTAAGCCTGGTCACCTGCTGACGTCTGTCCCTGGCCTCAGGAGCCGGAGCGAGAGGGGGGAAGGACACCCACTCTGGAGATCCTTAAGAGCCACATCTCTGGAATCTTCCGCCCCAAGTTCTCGGTGAGTGGTGCCCAGCCTGGGCTTCTACCTCCGCCTATTCCTTAGAGGTGGGTCAGGCCAGGGGTCTCAGCAATGCTCCCCATGGACTCCCCACCCTGGTGTTTTGGGTTTCATCACTGGGCACATACTAGATAGGAGGCTGTGCCCAGGCTTCTTTTACTAGCAGTCCCCTTCTTCCTGGGACTCCAGGCTGCAGATATCCCCAGACCCTGCCACCCTAGGCTCCTCTCTCCTCACCGTCCTTGTGTGCTGCAGGGACCAGCAGCCTGGGAGGCTCTCCCTGCTCTGGAAGTGGTTAGGGCCCTGTGGCCTAGAGGAAGAGGTACCAGTTGGGTTTGGAGTCAGTAAACCTGCGCTTTACCCCCAAGCTCTGCCCAGTGAGACCCTGAGCCAGGGCACTGCCCTCTCTAGGAGCTTGCAGACGCTGTCATGTTGCCCAAAGGTTGCGAGGACTGAGGGCACATGGGCTGGGGAGAGACCTGGCTAGTCTGGTACCTCCCCACCACTGGCTGAGTGACCCCCGCATACCTCCCTGGCCCTGCCCAGCTCCCCCCACCCCTGCAGCTTGTTCCTGAAGTGCAGAAGCCCCTACACGAGCAGCTGTGGTACCATGGGGCTATCCCACGGACAGAGGTGGCGGAGCTACTGCGGCACTCTGGGGACTTTCTGGTGCGGGAGAGCCAGGGCAAGCAGGAGCATGTGCTGTCGGTGCTGTGGGACGGCCTGCCGCGGCACTTCATCATCCAGGCCTCAGACGTGAGTGGGCTGCATCCTGGTCCTCCCCCAGAGGAACAACCTTGCCAGGG